ACCTTTCATGCTCATTAAAGAACTCTTTTCCGTGTGGATTTTTCTTAAAACCGTTGATTAAAGGGACACAAAATATAAATTTTCAGTTACCACATACTTTTAAGTTAAGGAAATAACTAATCTTTGGCGGCCATTTTCTCACTTATTTTACCCCTGAAAACAAGTAACCCCCACCTCCTTCATTCGCAAATATCTCGACTTGTAATCATGATAAATTGATATATTTTTTCATCCAAAGAAAGACATGTGAATAAGCTTTAAGATTATACCAATAACTCTACATGCCCAAACATTGACGAGAGCCTGATTCCGCCACGCTGCCTCACATTTAATATCACTTTAAGATATTCCAAAGCAGGCTAAGAAAAAAACCAACACCCCCCCCCCACACACACACATACACACACACACACCAAAAAAGTCACATAACCAAAACAAAACAAGGAGGAAAGTAGTGCAGTGCAGCCCAAAATGTTTAACGTTCTATAACATAAAGCACCCACGAACAGAATATAAGAATCTAGCAACAAGCACTATACAATTGATCAATACAAAGTGTTGGCTAGAGTGGAAACAAACGACCATTGTGAGCCTGTTGTACCGTAAAACATGTACCAAATCCTGCTTAGGTCCTCAAGCTTTATGAAGGCAAATAAATTAATTGCATATTGAACGGTTGTAACCTGACCTGAAAAATATTCTTTGGACTAATCTAAGCATGACAACAACCATAGCGAGTTTAGTATCTCATCAATAGTAATAGGACGGCAAATATCAAATTATTATGTGCGTCAATCAAAATGTCTCCCAGAGCAGAGGGATGTCTAAAAATAAACACGATCCCAGACTGTATACGGGGACGTACAACATTTCGTGCCCACATTATGAATAGGCTAGTCTGGAGCAATCAAGCGAGAAGTGTTACATCAGCGTGGAGTCTGTGAGTGGGATTGATGGCGGGTGCTGTGGTGTGGTTTGCTCCTTCTTTCCTATCAAATATGTTTCCTTATCTCTCCTCCTTTTATGTGTATATTATTACTTTCTAGTATCACCTCAATTCTTCGGTACTTATATGACCTAGATGTAATTGTGTTCCAACTGTCGAATTAGCAAAAAAGTAATAAATCTTAAAAAGTCAGTAAAACGTAGCATATTATGTCTGGATCGTCTTTTGGCGCGTAAACAGCAACCCAGACTATGTTCTGCATCCCATTATATCGACAGAGACATGGGGCGGCAAATTGAAGCAACAGATTGTCCTCATTTTCTCGAGCGTCCTCCCGGGAACAGGCGTTTTCTCAGCCCATAATCTGAGGCTTCAGACGAGATTGCCCGATTAGCGAGAAGCCCTCTCGACCGACGGGAAATCTAAAGATTCTCGTGCCCTTAATTCAGTCACTGTCGAATGCCTTGAGGCAGAGTGAACATTTCAATGAATTCTCTTTTTATGCGTGTCAAATGCATTCTGAAGCCTCCCCCCCCCCCCCCCCC